GAAACACTGCTTTAATTAATGTTTTTATGATGACTTTGTGAAAGGTTAACTAAACAGCATGAGCCGTCTTCCAGCTGGCCAGTAAGTTATTTGGCAAATTTCATTCATACAGATCTGTATTATGCTATAGTTTTTGATAGTGTTATACATTTCTTACAGATAATCACGATGATCATTGCGTTTGTCTTACCGAATGTGGTAGCTTTATGCAATTACAGTTTGTCTATAAGCTTTTTTTTTTATTAATGCCGACAGTAAAATGTTGCCAGATATTGCTACGAAAAACAAGAAAACAAAATAATAATAATCCGAAATAAGATTAATATATCACTAACCCTAACATGCAACTTTCCACTTTAATAATTTCCTAAAGTGTCACATTAAATCAGAAAAACAGGTCCAGAAGACTACTGTCACCTTTCCATTAGTGGATCTGGCAACACGGAGGCTGCACGCGCGCCCTCACTCACAACGCGCTCTCAAGCCCCGTTCACTGTGCTAGCTTCTCGCATTGCAAACACTCATATGAGGTGGTTTAAACGGCTAATTAATCATTCAGAGAGCTTGACATTTTATTTTTGAATGTAAAATATGACAGAGTTCCGGACCTCGGTCACCTCATAGCTGGCTACGGCCATGGACTTGTAACATATCGTTAGCACGTACCGGGCATCACAAAAAAGTTTGTTACCTTCTGCAATTTTGCTAAAAACGTTTTGCTTTCCTCCCGCTTCCTGCTTTTTCAGCACCGCTTGGGTAGCTTCTCTGTCTGTCACTCTGTAGCCTACACTGTCTGTCAATAATTATTTTTCTCCGTCAGTTTTTTGGCGCATTAGCCTTGTCACTTTCGCACGCAGAAAGTGAGATAATGGAATAGTCCAATGTAGTGAGGTGGGGGGCCCCCTCCTGTCTGCGACACTAATGATTTGATGCCTTTTTTCGCAAATGTTTTTTTAGAAATATATAATTTGCGAAAAGTAAAAAAAAAAAAAAAACTTAAGCATAATTTAATGGGGCATTTTGGGGGCCCCTAGGTAGCTCGGGGCCCAAGGCAATTGCCGACCTTTGCCTAATGGTTAAGTCCGCCCCTGGTCACAGACGCTTTGTCCATTTTTTTTACAGTCTATGATTACGTCATGAAAGTGTGGACTCGGAGGAAGATCATGTGAGAGCTTCTGGATGGGATTGCTGGTCCTTCAAAAAATAAAATGGGGGATCGCTGCATCTGAGAGAAGGGCTTTTTCGCTCTGGAAATGAGGATGATGCTGAGTTCCCACTCTAATAGTGTAATAGAATTCCCTCTGTGTGCTTCACACATTTCAGATTCAGATTCAGATTCTAAATCAGATTCAGAGCTGACAGCCATCCTTTCCCGGGTCTTTCTCGGATGTGCATGGAAAACTTAGCGGTATTGAAGTCTATACTCTATATGGAACTCAAAATATGGAACTCCAAAAGTACCAAATTCTGCATAAAAGTTTTCACCTCTCTCACTACCCTCGACGGTGGGGTGAATGTGCCTCTGGTAGGCCACCTCCGCCCTGCATGCGAGGCCAAGGCACTCTTATTGCACAAGGGTTGTTCTGAGCCTGGGTTGAGCTGCGAATGTTGACTGACCATGATCAAGTCACAGCGCAGGCCCTCGGCCAGACGATGTCCACCTTGGTGGTCCTTGCAGAGGTGCGAGAGGTCGTCAAAGTACGTTTTCTCGATGCTCCCATCTCACAAGGTGGCCTTTTCGGCAACACTGTTGAGAACTGGCCCAGCAGTTCTCTGCAGTCAGTAGCAGACTGAAGAGCTTCCCCCGACATACCATCAGAGTGCCTCGTGGGTCGCCCCTCAGTCTACTCGTCGCCGAGGGTGTCATCCACCGCACAAAAAAACGAAATGAAAAAAAAACTCCGGCACAGCCTGCTCTACTGTGTCCAATGCAGGAGGATGGTCTCATCTATTGTTTATGCGCTCGGTGAAACAATCACCCCTGAGACGGGCGACCCGAGGATGAGTGAAACTGATCTCCAGGTCGAGGGCCGGGTAGTGAATCTTTTGAGTTAAAATTCTGTTCTTCCACTGGAATCACAGTGGTACACAAATTCTCAAAAAAAAAAAAAGAGCAGTTCCTCTGTCTCTGGATCTGCAAGGAGAGCAGTGGGAGGTCAGAAATCTCACCACTCTCATCCTCCTCTTCTGGGGCCAGTGGGCAGCAATGTGCAGTTCTAGGACGCAACCAAGCCTTCCCCTGCGCCCCCTGCCCTGTGGAACCAGGTAAGTGTTGCACAGCACACTCAGACCCGCTAGAGGCTGCCTCGCAAAGAGAGCCCCCCGAGCCGCGTCCCGGCGTTTCACCTCGCTGCCCCGCTGCGGGTACGCCTGCGGTCCCTTTGGTCCCACTTGTACACCCTTTGGGCACCCTACTACCCGCGTCCAGACCTCTGAAAACTCCATGTCTGGTCCCTGGACGGGACGCAGAGGTTCTAGGTGGATTACCCCAGAGGTACTTAACACCATCACTTCGGAACGGACGCCGTCTACGAGACGTGCATACGCCTCTCACTGAGAGGACCCCCGAAGGTGTTCGATATGGTCTGTGCTTTCCTTCTTGCAGCAAGGGTTGGAGAGAGGGCTGTCTCCCTCCACCCTCAAAGTACATGCTGCCGCTATTTCAGCTTATCATAACCACATAGATGGCAAGTCAGTAGGGAAGCACAACCTGGTCATCAGGTTCCTTAGGGGGGTGAGACGGTTAAATCCTCCTCGACCCCCATCCACACCCTCTTGGGACCCTCCCTTGGTGCTTCGAGCACTTCAGGATGCTCCCTTTGAGCCTCTGCAGACCCAGCCCTAGCTTTGCTCTGTCTCATCCACGCTCTGCAACTGTACGTGGACAGAACTTGAAGGCTCAGGACCTCAGACCAGCTCTTTGTCTATTACGGAGGCCAGCAGAAGGGAAAGGCTGTCTCCAAGCAGATGTTGGCCCACTGGATAGTGGATGCCATTGCCTTGGCTTACCAAGCTCAGGTTGCGTCCTCACTCTTTGAGAGGCGTTGCATCCTCCTGGGTATTGGCACGTGGCGCCTCGCTAACAGATATCTGTAGAGCTGCGGGCTGGGCTACACCTTACACGTTTGCTAGGTTTTATAGCCTACGTGTAGAGCCGGTTTCCTCCCGTGTTCTCACCCTAAACGGTCTAGAAGCACTGAGAGGCCCGGTTCTGCCGGCTTGCTGCGCCCTACTGTGTGCTTAAATTGCTCCATAGTGAAAAACCTGTTGAGTCCTCCACCACCCTCAGAGCCGGACGTGGCGGAGTGTCCGGCGCCAGGCCTTTATCTGTTGAATCCTTGAGAACCAGGTCTAAGCTGGGTTCCATATGTGCAACCCTGCGGGGATCCCAAATGTGTATTCTTCCACGGCTGGTCCTAAACGGAAGCCCATGTAAGCCAACGGAAGCCCTTGGGCTAAGTCACCCACTTTCTTATATGCAGTACAACCTTCAGGTTAGTCCATATGTATATCTCCACATAACTCCTTCGGGGAAGAATGTGGCTTCCGCAGCATTCTCCTTCCTAACGGAAAGGGCACGCTTTCCAGTGTTCAGGCAAGAAGGGGCAGAAGGCTTGCACAGAGCACTGGAAGAGGGCAGCAGCTGTGGCGCTTTGGTAGGGATTCCTATCAGTCGGATCAAATTACCGGGGACACAGCTCTATTTCTGCTGTTCCATAAGCGCCACCGACTTACAGAGAGTGGATTTACATTTTTATTCAGCCTGTCTATAGTTTTTGTTTGTGAAACTCAGGGTACGTTTACACGACATTATGTTTAAAACGGGGAAGTTTTTCCTTTGATTTTTACGCATACATCCGTTCACACGGATCCGCAAAAACGACTAAAACCCTGTATTCTGCTGCCAGGCCGTTAGATGGCGATGAAACACTATAGACTGAACACGTAATACGCATGTGCATGATGACGTCGTCTTCAGATATTCAGATTTTTGTTGTTTACACGGAGACCGTTTTCAAAAACTTGCACTTTGAAAAACGTTTTCAAAACTTTGCGTTTTCAGGCACCCAAAATGCCTTTGTTATGTAAATGAAGGGTTAAAACGCATAAAAAGTCTTCCGTGTTTAGTTGAAAATGATGTCGTGTAAACAGCCCCTTAGACCACATTTGTATGTGCTGTTGTAAATTTTAACCATCTAATGTGCATTCTAAAAATCTAAACAATTTGGATAATAAGGTATCTAGAATTATTCATTTAGCTGATAAAATACCTAGAATCATTTTGACTCATCCTGTTTCTTAAAAATGGTTTAATGGCTGGAATATCAGGTTTGTCATTAAACATAAAACATTTTGGTCAATAATTTATGTGAACATGTAGTATGTTAGTATAGATAACATTATGTTTTAAGTCAAATCCGGCCGTAGTTAATGCTATTATTTTAATGTTTCGGCTGTTGTTGCATTTATTAAAAACGTAACAGGTCGTTAAGGATTTTGAATGTTCAAATAGGGGTCTCTTGGAAAAAAAGTTGGGAACCACTGCTATAGCCCAATGGGGCACCAGGGGGAACAAATCATAACTCGGGGGGCCAGCGCCACCCCATGCCTACCCTCTAGAAATGGCACTCTCGCAAATTCTGTTTCATGCCGACTTTAACGTTTCAAATTGGCATCTACCAAATACACTTTTAAAGCTGCAAATAGCCTACAAAATAATATTAAACTGGACTAGAGTTTTCTGATTTGGCACTGTTTCATTTGATTGCATCCTTTTGTTGTTTCATGATTCCATTTTTAAAAATGATTTTAAGAGTGAAAACTAAATGTGTATTTACGTGTGCTCAGTAGCTCTCCAAACAAAAAGCCTTTAAAAGCTTTCTCTGTTTTGACTGATCGCGCAGTCCAATGAAAGAAGCCACTGTGCAGTGCCTGGATGGAGCATTGCCCGTCCCGAACCCCCCTCGAGTCCCCCCGACATATTATTCAGAGGGGCGGGACAGTCAGAGAGACGCTGAAGAAATCGCCCGCTGCTACTCGTACAGATGTTGACAGGGCTCGTGCAGTGCAACAGCATCTTCGCATTTCACTGTTTTTGAAAGAGGAGTCGCTCACTTTGTACCTTCACCATGGGAAAAGTTGAAGGCGGAATGAAATGTGTGAAATATCTCCTCTTCGTGTTCAACTTTATATTCTGGGTAAGTAGCCTAATACAGTAGTGTTGTATTTATTTACATGCCACCATCATGTGAGGTGCTATTTTAGTACTCTATATTTTGCTATCAGGAGCCAGTTTTGCGGGCACTTTCAAGTCAAATATTCGTTCTGTTAAGAGTGTTTACACACCTTCTGCAGGAATTTAAAGCTTGATTCGGGGGAGGCTGAGAGTCACTGCTCGTACGACTCAAATCAGATTTTCCACTGAGGAAAATCCGCCCCTTTTTCCTTCGGCGTGTGTTTGTTTGGAGGGCAGCAGCCGGACACTGGCGCTCTAGGCTACTGGGTGTTTTGATTCTCCCCACTGACTTCGAATCTTTTGAATCTGTTCAGTGAATACATTCGTTTAAATTAATTCGCTGATAAGTTCATTAAACCCTTCTGCAGGTTATCGTTATGCCAGTTGGTGCGGTGGCGAGCAGTGAGCTTTGTTTATTATGAGTAAATCATTGAATCATTCACTCATTGGACAGTCCACCATGAAATCAAAATTGACCGTGTTTTTTGTTTGTTTTGTTTTTATAGCAAATATTGCAGTATTTATTATAAATGATATATCCATGCACTTCATTATTTTTTTTATTAATTTTCCCTTGTATTCTTCAGTCAAAGTAACTTCCCCTCCCTCTTTTCTCTGATGATGGCTTGAGGGCGGGGCAACCTGTCACTCACATGAGATCGACCAATAGCAAACCTCAACCATCCAATCAATTCCCGCCCTACATTTGTTCTTGTTCGAGAAACCGTTTCACTCAGATATATGTCACAATAGAGAAGAAAAGACTTCCGTTTCATGTTGGCTTTAATGCCCTGTTGGTCTGTATAGATCCTAGTTTATGAACGAGATTCAATTAATTCGTTCATAAGCAGGGTCAGTCAGTTCATTCAAGGACGGTTCATTCGTTTAGTTCAGTTATTATGAATTATTCCTTTTATTTTTTTATTCACTTATTCAATGAATAATTTAATAAAATATACTTTTAAACTAGACTTTAAAGTTCATTGACAAGTCCCAGTTCATTTGTTCAGACGAAGCGACTCATTCCATGAACAGTGTGTGCGTTCGTTTGGCATAAGCATAACCAATACAATTTTCCTTCACAGACTCCACTTGAAATGCTATTTCATGCAAATAGCCAGTCTTTGGTGGCAGTACAGTCAAGTGCTTTAAAAAGACTTTAGTGAACTGAGTAAGTGCATGATAATGGTTTCTACGTTTAAAAGATTTGTTAAAACACTGATTCATTCATGAATGAAACACTGCTCTGCATATATTAGCATTAACTACGGCACGGGAAGCACAGTTTAATGAAGGCCTGACTATTTTTCATTGAGGACACTTATCTGATTCACCATAAACTTTTCTTACACATGATAGTTCAAACATTTTCTGGAGTAAATGCAACCTTTATTTAATTAATAATCATATAACCTTGTATAATAATACATTCTCAACGTGAGTGATATAATAATTGCCCTTTGAATAAAATATTATAAAATCTGGGATGAAAAAAATGGAATGAAATTAAATACAACAGCATTTATATTTTGGTGTTTTTTTGTTCTTTAAGCCTTGGTTAATTTCTTACCTGCATGCATGGTAAACCTGGACATATCAAGGAACTTTAAAATAGTTATTTACAGACAGGAAAAAATTAGTGATTAATTTTAAATAATCAAATCTTTAAACTTAACTGTCACAGTATTTCTATAGTGAACAATGTCATGGAAATTCATTGGTCAAAGGGTTTGAGAGCTCTGCTTTTGTGTATCTGTTTGGTGTAATTTATTTGGCCTGTTAACAGTAATTGACATGAATGTGGTTTATGCACATCTAAGCATTGCACATAAACGCCTAGATTCCCATTAAAACAAGTCTAAAATTTAGAAACGTTTTCTGTTTCCACAATAACAGCACTCTCGTAAAACTTTATTAGTCTTTTGTATTACATTACCATGTCCCCTGCATTCCCCCCAAACACACACACACACACACACACACAATTTCAGCCATTTTAGCATCAGGTTTTGCCAATCAGATTTTTAAACAAGTGACATTTTCCCTTTAGCTTCTGACCTTCCGTTTGACACACACACACACGTATTTATACTTAGCTGATGTCTAAATGAGGACATACTATACATGCCATGCTTTTTTTATAGAAAGCTAAATAGATGCTTTGTCTTATTTAGCTACCAGTAACTGGTAGCAAAATTTCATTCTCACAAGCTCTTGTGTTTATTCTAATCACAAATATAATCATATAATTATTTACATTCTATACTACTCAATATATGTTTGCTCTTTGTTGCATTTACTACTCTCCCATTGTGTGCAATACCTTATGCAGTATTTTACTGCCTATTGTGCAATGACCTATCTGTACGATCTGCTATGAAAGATCTGTGCAATACTTGACTGCACACTATTGCACACTTCCATTAGTATGCAAAACAATCCAACACTTACGGCTCTTCAGTTATTTGCCACAACTGTGCAATAAGGATTCAGTACTCAAATACTCACACGGCTTTTCTACTTTATACATCCTTATGGAACAACTGGCTTAATTTGCACTAATGCCTTGACCGAGAATTATATCAATTCTTTAAATTGGACGTTTAACTTGCACTAGTTATACGTTATTACACTGTAAAGACTGCTCTAATTTCATTGTACTTTGTATAGTGACAATAAAGATTTCTTAAATCTTGAATATTTAGATGATCTACTATATTTTCCAAAATGTTAAGTACACTGTCAATAAAATGTTGGAAGAGCAAACATATCTAAATTGAACTAATATTCTTGCTTGGGCATATTAAAGAAGACATATTTTAATAAGTCTAACATATATTTGAAAAACTTTAAATGAATCATTATTTATGGAGAAAAAAAAACAGTTATACACAAAACTGCATATAAATTCAAAATAACTGTATACAGTGACAACACTGTAGAATAGTACAGTTTGAGAAGTTTGTTATTGCTTAATACTGCATAGTTTGTTGTAAACATAGTAAGCTGCATACGCTCTAAAAAACATAATTTTCTAAGTTGTAAATAAAACAAAGATTATTGGAGTATGTTTTACAAAAAAAAATACAAAACAGATTTTAGCATGTTGGTATATTAACATTATATCAGTAATGAAAAATACAAAAAAAATACTGTACATTTAAGTTCAATCTGTAAAACCTAAAATGTTCTGACAATCACAGCTGCCATTTTTACTGTAAAATTCACACTTTTTTACAGTGTATTTTAATATTTCTACTTCAAATTTCCATGTTTAATTCAATGTTGCTTTGTATATTTCTGTGAAATTTAAACAAATAATTAAGTAAATTTCACAAATAATTACAAAGAAATGGAAAGTAACAGAAAATTACACTAAAAACAATGAAATTTACAGTAACAAAATAAGTTGCGTTATATAATTTATCATGTAAAAACACCATTCATAAATATTTAATGATTGAATATTTAACCATTCATAAACTGATTGGCAAGTCTTTATGATTTTCTGTAGAAAATTAACGTCACAGATATTGTCAATATATCTTAATGTGTTTGTATATTTGTATATCGAATGCCTATGAATGCCAAAATACACAGTGTTATTAAATCATAAATTATATAACTTAAATTGTTTTATTGCTGTGAATTTCATGGATATTTGACAGTGCACCTTAATATTTCTACTTCAAAATTTCATGTATAATTTAATGTGTTAATTGCCATTTCTTTGTAATTATTGGTGACATTTACTAGCAATTGAAAAGCAATTAAAATATCAAGTGAAAATTGTTTCAAATAAAATCCTATGCCAGTTGTATACAGTGGAGAAAGCAGTACTCAAGTATTTCATTCCGAACATTCATTTATCTGAGCGTCTCCAAACAGTTATCCCAAAACACCCATATTTCAGTCAAAGAAAGCTCCTGTAGTATTCAGTGTAACTTTCTCCACCGCAGCACCTGCGATGTGCATCAGTGTGTTTTGAAAAAGGCTGTGTGAAACAAATTTCCGTAGGTCAACTTCCAATCTCTGCTGCTCCTGTGAGGCTTTGGTGGCTTTCCTAGGCCATCCACATGGACACTGCTGGGCTTTGAGCTCCATCTCCATTCTGGATCCTTAGAAGGGACTAGTGTGAATAGAAATGTATTTTAAATGTTCTTCACACTAAGAAAACAATGGTTCTTCACACTAAGACAAAAAGGGGACCTATTATGCTTTTTTACAACTTTCTTTACTGTGTAATTTTGCTGTTTGAGCTTGAAAAAGCTCTGCAAAGTTACAAAGTCCCTCCAGTGGGAGTTATTCTCTATATCAGTCTCAGTGTTTCTGAACTCCCTGAAACGCCTCCATTGTAGTCTTCCGTTTTCTTCTGGGAACGAACGCGTCACCATTTAAATAATTTCTGCCCAAGACATATGCAAAATAAAGGGGCGGGGCCTGGTTGAGTTAGTTGTGTGTTGAAACTTACGGTTATGGTAAGGAGCGGGACATTTCTCAAACACACTCGAAGCGCTTGACCAATCACAACACACTGATCCAGCTGACCAATCAGAGCACATTGAGCTTTTCTGAGAGACATGAACTAAACAGAGCGATACTGACAGACTGGGAAGAGAGGAGCTGAAGAATATGGGAAAATATGGGTGTTTTTTAACATTCGAGCATGAAAACCTATTCTAGTATAGCCAAAAAAACTAAATCAAGACTTTGTAAAATGTCATATTAGGTCTCCTTTATCGACTGTTCACTGAAAGGTTCTTTAGGGAACCAAAAATGTTTTTTTCTATCGCATCACTGCAAAAAAAAAAAAAAGAAAAAAAAAAACTTTTGGAACCTTTATTTTTAATACAGCAAAATGTGGTTAAACCGAATTAAAGAATAGACGTTTGAGAATATCAAGCCTGATTAAGAGGCTGACAGGGAAATATGATAGAAAAGGGTTAGAGATTGCGTGTGTGT